TATATAAAAGTAAGAGGTTTCTATTGTTTGTTTCTATATAAACTTTTATCTCTGTGTGTCTCACCCAACTTCAGTTTGCCCAACCAAGATGCTACATCCAGAATCTGTCTCTGTTGTTTGCTTATGTATTTACACATTTATCTACTTTTTGCTTCTCACTATTTCTTCTTCCAGACAAGCCATGACTTAGGCTTCTCGCTACTTCCAATTACCTAGAAAAACATCCTTCTGTTTTTCACCTAGCATGATGGCTGGAGCATTGATCTGTCAGCTAGATTAGTGAGGTGCCCTCAAGAGGGAAACCTGAAAGCTCTCTTCCATTCTTGGTCTACACACAGCTCACTTTCTAAATGCAAAGTGGCACCATGCACAGACATCTTGGCTGGGAAAGGCTCTAAGGATCCCCAGACAGTGAACTGGGCACTCCTGAACCAGGTGTCAGGTATTATGTGCGTCCTCAGAGGGCCAACCTTGCAGACCTTGAATGCTCCAAACTACCTCAATGGCTCCGGGCCTGAACCCTGTATTATAACGATTTCTTGACCACCATTTGCCACTCCCACCCCACCGTGAGCCAGAGCTCTGTACAAACTAAGCATTCAGCACTCTTCTTCATCCATGTGGATATGAATTGAGAAGATGGTAAGGGTGGGAGGATAGGCAGATTAAGAGGAAAGAGAGAACGGAAGGTTGGAAAAGTTACTGGTGTTCTACCTTGATACCAAACCCAAGGCAGGCATTTATTCCCCAGAATCTGCAAACAACCCCCTGCTAAGAGTTTGCTTGAATTCTCTCAAGCAGGCATTTTATTCCCTCTTTCAAGATGTTGCTGGAAGTGCTGTGGGTTGGCTAACTAAGAAGTTGAGGGGCATCTCCTCTTCTCGACCCAGCCTCAAAATGAAAGACAGGTGAGAGAGGGCACTGCCCCCTGCCCATTTATAAGGCAGCTGCTACCAAAACAAAATATACGCCTTCTCCTCCCTTCCAAACTAAACAGTAGTTTGTCAAATGGATGGATAAGAAAAGTGACAATTTTCCTTTATGTTAATAAATTGCCTAAAAAAACATTAATCAATTTCTTTCCAAAGCACAGATGCTTCTCTGTACGCTGTTATTTGCCTGGCCTTGAAAAGAAAGTCACCTTCAATCCTCTTTGAATTGTCAAGGCCAATGGGGGCAGCTGCAAGAAGAGGATGGGGAGTTCCCTAAGTCCCAGTGATTATAATGGAAGCCTGTGGTGTTTCCATAGAAATATAAAGAGCATATTCTTCCCTGAATGTACATGGAGGGGAGAGGTGAAAAGTGATGTTTCTGGCAAGGTGTACAATTACTGAAGAGTTGAAGGTATGAGTGAGGAGGTGAGGCATTCAGTCCCTAAGATAGGAAGACAAGAGACTTAGTGGAGTGGGTAGAGACCACATCCTACATAAGGACATTTCCCGTTATTGTGTCCCATCTGCACAACTACCCATTGAAGTAGCTTTATAACCCCCATTTTCAGTTGTGTCTCAGAAAGAGAAGCAACTTACCCAAGGTCACCCAGCCAGTAAGTGGTACAGCCTTGGTTCAAACCCAGGAGTATTCCATTCGAGAGCCATTTCTGTATTGTCTACAATGTGCTTTAAATTGTGAGCTAAGACAGACTTTACCTTCTTTTTTTTTAAATTAATTAATTAATTAATTTAATTTTTGGCTGCATTGGGTCTTCGTTGCTGTGCGCAGGCTTTCTCTAGTTGCGGCGAGTGGGAGCTACTCTTCGTTGCGGTGTGTGGGCTTCTCATTGCAGTGGCTTCTCTTATTGCAGAGCATGGGCTCTAGGCGCTCGGGCTTCCGTAGTTGCAGCACATGGGCTCAGTAGTTGTGGCTCGCGGGCTCTAGAGCCCAGGCTCAGTAGTTGTGGCACACGGGCTTAGCTGCTCCGTGGCATATGGGATCATCCCAGACCAGGGCTCAAACCCGTGTCTCCTGTCTGGCCTCTTGGTGCTGGTAACTAGTGGCTCTGTGTCCTTAGTAAATGCTAGCCAATATCAAGAGCTACTAGAGATCTTCTAGCCAAAGCTTAGGATCTGCCAGATCAGTGAACAGAAGTATCCACTGAGGCTCCGGCTTCCAGGATGTACTGCCCAGCACTGCACCCCTATTTGTCTCTGAGCCTGGGGTGGGTTTCTGCCACCACTACCTGCAACTCACTCTCCCCAACTGAAATTTAAGGAGATGGATTCAGAGGCTGGGGAAGAGCTGTCTCCAGCAAACTCTCATTGCTTTAAGGAAGGAATTTAAAGCAGTGAGTTGCAAACTCTGATTCTTACCCTCTCTTACACTATTTCACAGATAGAGAACATCTACATTCATAGTTCTCCTAGCTCCTGAAATATCCCTGCCCTCTTTTCACCAGGCAGAAAAATAACCTTCATCCTAGGGCGTCAGCTGGAGCCAAAGAAAGGAGGCACCCCTTACTCATTCTAGGAATTTCCTCAGCTTTCTGGTATCAGAAATTTCATCCATCCATCCATCCGTCCAGCTGGTCAACAGTCTAAACATCCATTCATTCATCCAACCATCCATTCATCCATACAACCATCTAACCATTCATCCAGCCATCCAACCAACTATCCATCCATCCATCCACCCATCCATCCATCCATCCACCCATCCACCCATGCACCCATGCATCCAGTCATCCATCCTACTCCAGGCCTGACACTGTGCTCAGTTACAGGGACATCACAGTGAGACAGGCAGACTACCCCTACTTTGCAGCTCTTCATCCGTATACCTCTACCAAATTATATGAACACACACACAAAACAGCCTCCTTCTCCTTATATGTGATATTTCTCTGACTTCTTAATTCAAACAAACAACAACAACAAACCACCTGAGTTTGTCAAGACTCACAACAAAGTCCTAACACCAATTAGAAAAAATAGTTCTCTGGGTGAGTCCTCAGTGTCAGACCTCCGTGTCTGTCTGTCTGTCTGTTTACTACTCTGCCCCCAGCACCTAACATAGGGCCTGGAACATGGGACATACTCAGTAAATTTAGTTTGTTGAATGATTAGCTGAATATCATTCAGTGTTTGCTGGCGCCTGACTCTGAACTGAGTGTTGTGCATCATTCTGTTGTTTCTACTTCACTGAGGTCCTATGAGTAGGTACCATGCTTATTCTGCAGATAAGGACACTGTGGCTTGAATACGAGAAATGACTTTGCCAAGATCTCACAGCTAATCGATCACGGAGCTTTGCCTAGAAAAACATAGCCTGCATTACTATACCCATTATTATAAGTCACCCAGCCAGGAGTATATCCCTGTGGAGGAGACCAGGGGGCACAGAAAGTAAAAGGATATAAGCTGAAGAGAAGAAAATCTGGTGGAAGCATATCAAAAATACAGAAACAAAATAATCAGACACCCATCCCTGATGCTCCTTAAGCATGGTTATTCAGCCCCTATTACTGCTACTATTATCATCATTAATGTTATTACTACTAATACATTATATCTTGCTCTTTGCTTTGCTTCTCAACGATGTGTCTTGGAGAGCTTTACACCTATGCTACTTCATAGGATTCCTCAATACAGACATACTTAAATACTCTCCTTTAATGGGCATTTCCTAATCTCCATTCCTTTTTTTGTTATTTTATTTGTGTGTTTTGGAGTCATTAATGTACAGACTCCATTGTATCATCTGTACACAGGTCTGTGAGGTAAACAAGACACTGTTGGGGACCAGGGTTCTCAGGGGTTGAGAGAGTCAGAGGCTGGGGAGAGCAGAAGCTCTGGCCTGGGTGCAGTGGGTGCTCAGGCTCGCCTTGACCTTTGAGGGCTTGGGAATCAGGCCAGTGGGCATCAGGAATGGTCAGCCCGTCTGGTAAGTCTGGCTCAGCCTTCTCAGAACCTGGAGAGCTGGGCCAGGAAGACTGAATCCTGCAGACGTCCCTACAGACTGTGTATGTGCTCCCTCCACCCTTAATTGTCCACTTTCCTCTATAGGAGATTTACTTACAGAGGAGTTGCCAGTGCCAGGATGACTGGAAGAAGGCTCTTAAGCTTATAGCTGTGTTTGTTACCTGGTTTCATACTAGAACCCTCAGAAGGCCCAAAGATGAGGAGCTAGCTTGGGAGTGCGGAAAGTGGGGGAAATGCAGAGTCACGAAAACAGTGTTCCTCCTCGTTTAGCAAGGAGGAAAATGAAATGTTTCATACGGAAGAGGAAAGACCCCATGTTGGTTTGTGATGTGGCATGACTGGCCAAAGCCTTCTACCCAGCAAGGGCTAAAAAGGAGCTGTCATTAAAGGGACACTTTCCTGGTCTGCTATGCCCATGTCACCTCCCAGAGACCCAGGATCGGAGTAAGTGCCATCAAAAAGGCAGATCACGATTGCCACACGTGACTAATAAAGCCCCCAAATGGTACCTTGTCACTGGGCATTCTGAGATGGCTTACTATATGCCAGGAACCACTCTAAGTACTTCATTTATATTCTCTCAATTAATATACATCTTAATTCCAAAGAAAGCCTTTGAGGTAGGTGCCATTTTTATGTCCATTTTATGGATAAGGAAACTGAGTTGTTAGTTTTAGCATATAATCCTCTGTGTTACTTAAATACTTTATAATGAGGCAGTTTTCATGCATAAAATGTATGTAAAAAGAATGAACAGTTAGGAGCATTAAATAAATGTGAGAGAGAGATTGGAGCCGTTTTTACCGGACATCTACTATTAGGCTGCCATGTTACGTGCTTCATTTAAACTTAGTAACATGCCCAAGAGGAAGGCATTACAGATGCCGATTCAGTCAATGAGAAACTGGAGCTTCAGAGAGGTGGCACAGGTTCCTCAAGGTCACACAGCCAAGCAGCTACCTAAGCATCTGGGACCTGACCTCAAAGCACATGTTTTTCCATGTCAGTTGGACACTTGGTGATGCTACATCAGTATGTGCTGATTTGAATTTACTTTCCTTCCTTCCTCTTTGTGTTTTTCAGTGTAGAATATGACTTCCGGCAGCAGGAAGGCAGGTTCCATGAAGTTCTACAGAGTCTGGAGGAAGCAGAGCCAGTTGAGGAGGCACCTCCCCCACCAAAGTCCCCGGCAGAGCCCTCAGTCCCTGAGAAACAGGACTTAAGGCGGAAAACCAAGAAGGTGAAGAAGAAATGCTTCTGGTGGATCTGAGCTCATGGGGACCTTTACCTCTGCCCTTCCCGAGGTGGGGAACCACTGCACTCAGGCCTTCTCTACTTCTTAGCGAAGGCCCCAGGCTATGAGCCACTCGACCTGTGAAACCAGAACAACTTGGGGCTGGATTAGCTGCCACTGGACGCATGACCACACCTCACCTGAGTGCGTGCCACTGCTTGCTGAGGACCTCACGGACCCGAGTGCCCACTTGCCTAGCTTCCTGTCACACATCCTGGTTTGTGAGTCTAGATTCCCACCATGGGCAAATCCCCCATCGCACTTTCCTACACCTCTGTAACGCTAAGCACTTCCTGCCCGTCCTGGGTTCATCGTCCCAAAGGAAAGAAACAAAAATGTTGTGCAGAGCAGTAAGACAGAGGAGGATTACAAGCAGATACCCAGAGAAAACCAGATACCCAAACTGGCAGTTTTCTAAGATATTGGCATACATGAGCACAACAGAAGTGGGCAGGACACGAGAATGCAAGATCACCTTGTGGTTGGGTCCTCTTCATTTTTAATTAGCCCCTTGATCCCAAAGCAAGGATTTGTCATTTCATGCTGTGTGGACCTTAAGAGTCTGTGGCAGAGTAAGCTCACCACAGGGTATGCGGGACTTGCAGGTATGACTATTCTACAGTTGTAGCTACTCCAGGGCCCACCTTAAATCATCCTGCTTCTCAGTCTGAGGCCTGAGACTGCCTGGCAAATGGATGGCGTCTGGTTTGGGTTTGAACTTTAAGATTCCACAGTTAATTTCTCTGCAACATTTAAGATCATGAGATCCAGCAGCCTATCTGTCCATTTCATCTTACCAGAAACATAAATAAGACTAAGACAAAACACAACACTGGTTCTCGCCCATTCATCCCTACAGCAGCCTTGTAGACAAGTTCAAAGTATATTAATCTACACAATCTCCCTTCCTGGTGACCAGGCAATGGTCACCTGATTGAAGAAGCAGCAGAACTGGGGATGAGGATATATTTTTTTCCATTTTAGTATTAAAGGCCTTTCTTTCCCAAAGTCTGAATTCTTTTAAAGTCTGGCTCATTCTTTTGACAAGACCTCCGTATACGTGGGTCCAGTCAAACTTGCATGGCTGAACAAACAGCTAAAGTAATATAATTCAGTAACTGCTACATACTCTTGGGCACGAGGGGTAGGTTGGCAAGGCTCATATTCCTTCTTGTTAGACTCTCTACCAGCCTGTGGTTGGATTGAGGCTGCTTAGAAAAGGGATCCTAAACTCAACGAGCATTCAGTGAGGAAGGCACTTCATAATCCCCTTTGCTGAAGACTGGGTGTCTGAGTTAGAGTCTTTGCAGAGTGCAGCATCCTGTGTAAACGTGGGACGTACGTTCCCCGCTGCAAACTGAGGCTAACTGAGCAAACCACTCTGACACTTTCACCTTCCCCTGTCCCTGAGCTGCAGTGCACAAAGCTATTTCAGTGACAGCAAGAGGGAAATCTGGCAAGGAATCTTGGCTGGCACTATTAAATCCTGGAATGTCATTCAGGATGTTCTTGTTCTGTTTCTAGTGTAATGTTTAAACCCACAAAATGAGACCGGAATACATGACGTGAAGTTAGAATTAAGATAAATACACTTGTCATACTTAAGCCACGTTTCAATAAGATTTGGTACCATTGGCTAAAAGCCACAGATTTTTCAGTATGTATCCACACGATCAACTCTCAGTTGACCCCAACAACCGAAAAGAACAGCACAGAGGATAATCCAGTAAAGCAAAATCATTGGGGATCTCATATAATTTTATCTTGTAGGAGCGCTTCCATCTTAATTTGCTTTGCTTCCGCTAATTTTCGAATTAATTTATGTTCCTGGGCGGCACAGTAAAATGGAAATAATCCTATTCCCAGAATTAAGACACCCAGGCAACAGAACAGTCTATTCCAAGGCCTGTTTGTCCATTCCCGAGTGCAGATATGAACACCTACTCTACCTGTTTTATAAAGTCCGTGCACATGCCAACATTAAATGGGCAGAGCCACCCAGAGGTGATCAGGATCATTTGTCGAAGTCAGCCTGTAATGATGAAGAGATGTCTGGGATAACTCACACAAAATGGATAATCCAACATTTGGATAATTAAGAAGCGTATGCTGTCATACACTTCTGCTGAGGTGGCAGCCTTGGGGTAAACCCTCAACTGAGTTAGATGAAACAGTGGTCTGAAAAGGTTGACATTTCTAGAGATAAAACCAAACAAGGCTATAATGATTCTATACCAAAGCACAACACAACATTGCTTGGGCCACCAACCTGAAACTGGGAAGGAAGTCTCTTCTGAAAATTGAACGTTTAAAATTGTTATGGGGGAAGTGGATTCAGTAAACACATTCCTGCTAAACAAAAACAATCATCTCTGTGTTAAATTTCAAAAAGTATACATATACCAAGACTCTATATTCACCTACTCATGTGAAAATTGCTTCTTTGTAAAGTATTATGTAACATCTACCGTGATATCCTACAGAAATGCTGTACTTGAAGTTATCTGGTTTTACAGAGCGATATTAATTTAGCAATGGTTACTTTTATAAAATTGAAAGGTGAAAGACTGATACATCACCTTAAGTTGCAGGAGTTTATGTAGCTGCTTTCTCTGTAGTTAAAAAAATGTGTACTCGCTATACTTGGAACTTAATACCAGCTCATCTATAGAGCACCTTCTTAAAGACTACGTACTAATGTAAGGTTTTGTAAATTTCTAAACTGTTTTAAATGGGATATTATCTTTTGCAATAAACTTACATATTTTTCCTAGGTTTTAAGACTCCATTACTAGCTTGGGTTGGTTTGGGTTATAAAATTTAAACCTAAGAAGGATGTCCAATGGTCCTAATGGCAGGGAGAGTTTTCATTATAATCGCTTCTATATGTTTCCCAGGGAAACAAATAAAAAAAGAGCAGCTTCAGAACTTAGCATGGCAGTGATCTCCTCAAGGCCCACATGTCCTGGGAGCCAGAGAGGCACTGTGAATCAATGATGCAATTCCCAGCTTCATTCAGATGGATACATATTCATGATTTTTATCATTATTATGCTCATATACCTGAAATGTAACTTATTCAATATTTTTCTTTAATTATTTTCCCCATAATCCTCTTCCTTTATATCTATCACCATCATGAGAGAAACCAGTATGATGTTCCAAAAATAAAAGATGAAACCAAAATAATTTTTTAAAATTCTTGCTGGAGCCTGTTGAGTGTTAACGGTGCTGAGCCTGAGGCCAGCTCTCTTTGTTAAGATGGGAGATCAGCAAATATTCAACACGTGCTAAAGCCACTTTAACACCAAATGCATCTTCTACTTGACTAATCAGGATGCTTGAGAGAGAACTGAAAAGAAAACAACATTACCATCACGTGATTTAATTTTTTCCCTGCGCTGTCCATTAGCCATCTAAAACCAGTTTGTTTACCAGTTTAGGTGGGAAAAACCTGGACACAGAATCAGAAGTCTTGGGTTTAAGATTATTCTACTACCCTCTTTTTTGCAGGATGACCTTGGGAAAGTTAGCCTCTGTGAGCTGCTGATTCCTTTTCTTATAATGCTGAACATCACCCTTCCCTGACAAGGGTGCCTGACAATTAAGTGGGAGAGAACCTTGAGCATTACGGAGGGCACACAACAGGTGCTCAATAAATGTGTATTTATTCATTTGTTTATTGAAGTAAATTGGGGGAGAAGAGGGAAGATGCCTTTATGGGACTGCAATGGGTTTTCAGAAACAGGCTTGAGGTTTTCTCAGGGCAAAAAGTGGTGTTAATAAGGAATGAACTCTTCCTGGCCTTATTAAGGCTAGAAACCATGACAATGATCGATAAGTAACAAAGGCCTCAGTGAGCAAGAATACGCAGGCATGTCTAGCACAGAAGAGCACTCTGGGGAATGAAGGATTCTTGCCGCGTGGAATCAAATACCCTAGAGGTAAAAGACGCTGCAAGGACTGGGCCCCTGCCATTTGAAGCGTGAGGCAACTAAGAGAGGCTAGATAGATGATGCATCCAAGGGCTCGTGGAAATCATGTGGGAAGCCAGTGCTGGGAGCAATGTGGTGGGTGGGTGCAACGTGTGAAGGTCTACCAGACACCAGCACCCAGGGTAGTTCCAGGAACCACTGGCACTAGACTTGAGACGCATTCTGACCTCCAGGTACAGTTTCTTTCTTAGCCGATCAGAGGCCTCAATATAGCCTTCACTTGAAAAGGCTCTCATTTTAAGCAGCTCAAGGCAACTTGCTGGATGCTAAAAACGTACTTCTCTTTTTAAGTTCCAAGAAACATAGATGCTTTGTGATCATTATGCCCATCAAGCATAGCTTGCAATAAAAAGAACTAAAAGACAAATCCACACCCAACACTCTTTGCATTTGGTGAAAACCATGTTTGACCGGCTTAAGGCTCATAACCCCTCTGGGGTACTTTCATCCCAACTCCATCCCCATTTTCTTTCCACCAGTTTACAGCCTGAATTCCTACTGCTCATGTCTATCACCCCTAGTCCTGAGGTTTCCCAAATATATGATTTCTTCCTGCATCCTCCAGGATCCTCAGCCCGGGAAGAACCACCTAGAGTCTGGCTTTCTCACTGCCAGGCTAAGCCGGCTTCCCAGGTAAGTGTGCCTCTCCACTACCGGCCTCCCGTTGCAAACCCCCTTCTTCTCTCAGCTGGCCTCCACAGAAGCATCCCACCTGGTCTCCCCATGTGCACGCCCTTCCCTTTCACCATGTAGCAGCAAAACCAGTCATTGCTGAATTTAGACCTGACCCATGTCACACTCTGGCTGTCACGATCTGGCGTCCTGATAAACTTAGGAAGTCAGACTAGGTCTGTCACTATGGCTCAGGAGGTCCCACCTGGCTCTCCTGTGGAAGTTCCCATCATAGGCCCTTTCACTGTCTGCTCTACAGTCACAGTGAGTCACCTTGGGTTCCTCAGAACCACCATGCGAACACTCCCTTAAGGGTCTGTACACACTTTTCCTTCTGCCTGGAAGAGTCCCCACCACACCACCCGCCCTGCCCAGTTTCCAGCTCTGCTGGGGTTTCCCAAGTAAGGCTTTCCAAGACTACAACCACCGCTGCCCCAGATCATCCCAAATATCCCTCTTATACACTCACCTGGCACCAGGGACCCCTCCATCAAAGTCCTTGGCACAGCTGTCCTTGTACATATATTTATGTAATTCTTTGATGAATGTATTTCTCTCTTATTAGCCTATTATCTTCCTAAGGTAAGAATTCTGCTTATTTTTGCTCACCTTTGAATCTCCAGCACTTAGCACAATGAGATTCAAATATTTTTTGCAGGGATAAATTAAAGAATGAATTGGATTCAGTGGAGAGACAGGAAGAAATGATTCCCCGTTTTTTCCCTTATCTATGTACAGGCTCTATCTGTGCTGCCAGGAGCATCTAGCCTTCCACAGATTGGGGCCTTCAGCAGCTAATGTGGCCAGTTCTTCTAATTCCACTGTGGTCCACATGGCATTCAGGACTCAGGAACATCAAGCCACTACCATCTTCCGCCACCATTTATCTTGAATATTGACAGCCCAGCTTAACCTTGTTTCGGAACAAATTGTTTAACCTTGTTTCGGAACTTAATTAAATCCCCATGCATTTCGCACATTTTACCAAGATACTGCCTTACCGTATGAAAGAGAAAATTAGTTTTGAAATTAAAGCAGATTGTTAACTATTTTTGCTGTAATGTTTCCATTAAAATGCCAGAACTTATTACATGTGACCTAGTCCATTTCAGACAAAATGCAATTTAAAAGAGACAGGGTCTGTCTCACTAAAGAAGCATTTGGGGCAGAGCATTTTGTCTTGGCTTAAACCACAATTAAAATGAAAAGACAATAAGCATCACACCAAAGGATTATTTACTTCAAAGCAAATAAAAGCTTTATTTATTTACCTTTTTAAAAAATTTTTGGGGGCTTCCCTGGTGGCGCAGTGGTTAAGAGTCCGCCTGCTGATGCAGGGGACACGGGTTCGTGCCCCGGTCCGGGAAGATCCCACATGCCGTGGAGCGGCTGGGCCCATGAGCCATGGCCGCTGAGCCTGCGCGTCCGAAGCCTGTGCTCCGCAACAGGAGAGGCCACAGCGGTGAGAGGCCCACGTACCGCAAAAAAAAAAAAAAAAAAAAAAATTTTTTGGCTGCGTTGGGTCTTTGCTGCTACGCACGGGCTTTCTCTAGCTACAGCAAGCGGGCTTCTTATTGCGGTGGCTTCTCTTGTTGCAGAGCATGGGCTCTAGGCACACGGGCTCAGTAGTTGTGGCTCACGGGCTCTAGAGTGCAAGCTCAGTAGTTGTGCCACACAGACTTACTTGTTCCGCAGCATGTGGGATCTTCCCAGACCAGGGCTCAAACCCGTGTCCGCTGCATTGGCAGGCAGATTCCTAACCACTGTGCCATCAAGGAAGCCCCAAATAAAAGCTTTATTATCATGAACGGCTTTCACGAATTCTCAGAATCCATAACTAACTATGGTATATTAAATTTCACCCTAATGAAACCCATAATTTTTTCTCCTGGCAAAACCTCAATATATATTTCTTAAATCTTCAGCCACACACAGTGACCTCTCATCCGTGCTTGGGCTTGGTTCCCCAGGTAGCACACACAATGTTGTGATACCCTGGTTATGCTGATAGAAAAGCCTTCTTCCTCCTGAGCCAAACGGGCTGAGTCATTTTAACTGATGAAATCACGAGTGGTTCACATAGCTCTTGCCCCGAGCACACCAAGCCCCACTGAACCTAATCCCACGTGCAGAGCTCCCATATGCATGATGGACAAGAGAAGTCATGTGTTTTAGTCATTGCTTTTCGTTTGCTTGTGTGTTTCAAGGTAAAAACAATATGCTTTCTGCAATTAGGGATCAAAGAGAGCAAAATAAAAGCCATGCAGAGCATCAGCATTTGCAAACTCAGACCCCGGACCTGATCTTAATTCCTGGAACTGATCCCTCACTCTTCTCCACTACAACACGACAACTAGCTCCAAGGAAACTTCTCACATGAACCTCAGCCCATAACCACCTTTTTTCCCCAATAAACAGTTATAGATTCCCTTCTCTGTACCAGCTTACTACAGTCTAGTGAGGGGTGGGGGAGAGGGATTCTGACAATGAGCACATGTCCTTTGCTGATTCACCCGCCTGGATATCATGCCCCTCCTCCTTTTGACCCTCTTAATGCTGTCCTTGTTATTCTCTTATGATGATTATCTGTCTTGAATTATAGCTGTTTCTAGTTTTCTCCCTGTTTCCCAACTCTATGTAACATGTCATGAGAGTAGGAACTTCTTTCCTCCCCTTGTAAAGTCTTAAGTCCAGGAAGTCTTTGTTTAATTAAAGACTTCAACATTATGAGCCCTTGTCTGTTCCGTGTGGACCACTGCACTGGCCTTCAAAGTCTACTTTCCTTACAGTTTTCCAGCTCCCTTGGATCTAGCTTCCTCGCAGCTACCTGGGGATCGCTCTAAGATGTATATCTGGCCATGCCACTCCAAGTTTTTCTAACTGTGCCCACCACCATCCAGGGCATAAAATTCCTCCCATAGCAACGAGGTTCCTTGCAATCCAACTCCAACCTAGTACGTGCAGCCTAACTTCCTACCACTCCACTTTCCCCTGTACCATCTCCTTGCCACCTCCTAAAATGTCAGAGGACATTACATATCAGTGGCTTAGCACACGCTGTTCCCCCTACCTGGGACACTGTTCCATTACCTATTTACCATGGGAAATAATTTTTGTTTGGGGGAATAAATGAATAGTAGCCATATTACTACTATTC